AACGATCCTAAGCACACCGCCAAGAAAGTAAAATAATGGTTAATCAACAAAGTTCCAAAACAGTTGCACACTTCTCCCCAATCACCAGACATGAACCCAATAGTACATTTATGGGATGAATTAAGACGGCGAGTGAAAAATCATGGTGTTTGAATGGAAGAAGATCTCAAAGCAGCTCTATTGGCATAATAGGATTCAATTTGCATAATGATGATTTGAAGTAGGCTGAATCTTAACCAACCCTTAAATGTACTGTTCAGATAATAAATTTGGGCGAAATAATGGCATCGAATAGAAATAGAATTAAGATATTATAGATGTATGAAAACTTTTTTGACATTCAGATTAAAGTTGTTTCTCTTCCTGCCATGGAATTAGCGATCCAGCAGGAACTTTTTTTGAGGCAGATGGAACCTTTTTAAATTAATATTTTTAATCAAAAAGGGTCCAAATTATCAACATATGGCACTTATAACTAAATCGCCCTGCCCTGAATGAGAATTTATAGTTTAATTTACACCAATCCTAGTAAAAATTTATATAAATCATCATGAAAAATTGTTAAATAAAAATTCTGAACTTTGTTTTAGAACAATAAAATAAGTAAATTGCAGAAGCAAAAAATCTAACATAAATTTATCAATCAGTTCACAAAAGTAATACTTTCTTACCACTTATATATATTTCTTAACCTTATATATATTTAGTAGAATAAAACAACTAAAAACATTAAACAAAAGTTCAAACTAAATCTGTTAATAGAAACAGAGCAGTGGTCTAAAACAGAAGCTATTTAAATGGTGGCTTGCAAGTTCCAACTGAAATTGCCTCCAAAACTGAAGACAACTGCTGCCACAATTCAATCATCTTTAATTTAATTGATTGTCACAACTAAAGTATTAAAACTGAATTATTTATTAAAAATAATATACCTACATTTAATATTATTCTAAATTAATGAAAGTATACTATTTCAGAAAAAAATTGAAGAAAAAGATTTTGAGTCCCAACATTAGAACACTGTATTTATTTTAAAAACATTAATTTTAAAAAATAATAAAATAAAATAATTGATTAGAAATTTTATGGGTATTTAAAATTCAAAGATTATCTCTATAGTTATAAAAATTATAAGGTTATTATCAATTCCATTATAATTTTCTAGTATACTATGAAAAATTAACTTATTGGAAATAAATTCCTTTGCTATTAGTTATTATTAAGAAAAATAATTTGAAGTAAAAATGTTATAAACCAAAAGTTTTAAATTTATTTTTAGTCATGCAAACATTTCAGTTCATAGACTAAGAATCATTTTATGGTGATCATTCCAATAGGAGGGAAAGTTTATGTTGAATATTACAGGTACACTTTTATAACAATAATATATAGATTATTTAACAGTAATATAAACAATATATATTAATAGGCATTATTCATCAATATAGTACATTTTTTTTAAATGTTTTCATTTAATTAACAATACCTTAAGGTTTAAAAGACCACCAAATATTAAATCTTTTTTAACATGAAACAGATTAATTTTTTAATGTTTCGGTCTTATTGATCATTTTTAAAAATTTTAATTTAAAAAACATCTTAAAATACCATAACACTTTATGGTACATGTTGAAAATACTAATTGATTTAAAGTACTTTACAAGTCGTTATGTTTAAACATTATCTCTTTATTTCAAACATTTTTTGTTCTCTATTTACCTTAGAAAACTGCATTTCATAATGGTATATAGTTAAATAAACGCCCTATGTTGATCAATTGATTAAAATACTTATCTAAAAAATATTTATGTTTTTAAAAATATAATTCAACTAAAATAATTTTTTTGGACAAATATATTATATTCCTTCATTACAGCTTAAAAGTTTTTATTCTAGATTTTTATTGTGATAATTTTAAAAATAATCTCCGTCATTAAATATTATTATTGGATAGATCACATTATGGTTTCAGCATGTTATAAATCATTAAATATTCAACAATATTTAATTTTAATTCCAAATAGGCATCTATTTTAGTTTCATTATATGATACCAAGTATTGTGGAAGGAAGGTGTAATTGAATAAGGTGAGTCACAGTTTAACTCTCAGACAGTGGAAGTTATTGAATTAGGCATTTCCGTTAAATCAACGAAAGCTTAACGTATTTTTATGACAGCTATTATTATTCGTGTAAAATCAGCATTTCTTTTCTGAAATTAACGATTATTATATTGGTAGTTATTTATTTATAATAATTTAATTTATAATTCAGTCCATTTGAGAGGGAGGTATTTTGATATACAATTTTAATATTTTATTTTTTTCGAAGATTTCCCATATTTATTAAAAATAAATATAAATCACTAGTTGGCCCATGCGAATAATGCGTATAGAATATTGGTCAGTGAATAAATGACAAAATAATAAAGAAAAAAAAAATTAGATGAAGGAATCAATTCTTATTTTATTGGTCATTGTAACCAACCTAGGAAACGAAAATTATTTGAAAACTTACAATAAGCTATACCGTAGCTAATAAATGTTCTGATTTCGATGTTGTTGTTTTTTAAAATTTCGTTTTGTATGTCATTAAGTAGCCTTTCAAAGAATCATAATTGGAATCAAGAATAAATTATACTTTTCGAGTTATAAAGTTTTTTTTCCGTTAAAACTTTTTTTATGAAATTACGGGGATGTTACGATTTTTCCCATCTTCAAAATGAATGCTCCATAATTAGATTTAATGACCATATTGCGTTGATACGAAATATATGGAAATTTTAATTTCCATTACATTATATTAGCAAAATGTTTTTGAACATTTATAATTAAATTTCACCATGCTAAAAGTCATATCAATGAATAGGTTCCAAATCGTAGATCGAAAATATGTTTGTGAAATCTTCAGAGGTAACCAGGGTCAACGCTAGCTCTCAAAATCAGCGCTGAATTCATTGATGGCATCGGATCCTTCTCCATTTGGGCAAAACGATCCATCGGTGAGCACAGCGTCAACATTGAACTGAAGGCAACTTCCTAGTCTCAAGTTTAAGAGCTTGCGGTGTAGTATCAGTTTCAACCAACAATCTGCATTGTACATAGCTTGAGAACGTATGCAAAATTATATTTTTATAATTAAACTTAATTTAATTAACAAATATTTTAAATATGATATTAATTTATGTGTTATATTCAACTTATGGCGCTTTACAGAGGAATAAATTGCGACTGTAAACTATTATTAATACATTTTTTTCATAAAACCGAGATTGCTAATTTTTCTAGGTACTAATTCACAAGTGTTCCGCACGGATTACGCATGGTTCACAATCACTAGTACCTTTCTATTAAATTTTATTTAGTTTTGAACTTCGATCTAGTCGTAATCAGAACATAAGTAACACGCGTGATTCACAATCACTTAGGTCACACTTGTTCACGAAACATCGAAGACAGTCTTTCCCATAAACTGGTATGCATTGGGCACTCCATGAACAAGTGTGACCGAAGTGATCTTGAACCACGCTTAACTCGTGCGGTCCTCCTGTAAATAATTACCCCTTTTTTCATTGAATTTTAATAGTGATAAGTATAAAGAATCCTTAAATAAAGTTTATTTTTCGTTAGGAATTTATTAAGTTGTCTAATAGTATCTAAAAATATATGTACTTTTAGATATGTTTTGTTAAACTTATTTTGTACTTTAAATACAATTTTTTTTTTTTTTTTTTTTTTTTTGCTTGAGCTCTGTTATTGTTATTAAATCTCCATTTGTAGCTTTGTAAATGTTCATTTAGTTATTTCACAAACTATGGGAAATACAATTATCCAACTTAACTAACAGCAAAATTATAGCTAAACCTTAACAATAAATTTATTTTATTTCCCAGTAGATGGAAAATATCAAAATCAAAAATACTAGCATAGTGAAATAACCATTTCTGTATTGGTTTGTCTCATAGTTTGTGAAATGTCTAAACGTATCTTATTGTCAACTCCTTGATTAACAAATCTGCCTTTTTTTTTAAATATTACTTTGAAGAAGTTTTAGGCAACAATGCAATATATTCCATCAAGAGAACTTCAAAATGTGGATATATGGGAAAGATTTACTTATAATTGATTAAATTAATACTATCTATTTTGTATATAAGTATTTATTTTGACTGCAGGACAAATATTGTTGAATAAAAAGGAAAAAAATGCTATTTATCAAACTAATTTTTATTAAAATACTCTTTGGCAATATTTTAATAAAATATAATGATTAGAAGAAAGCAGAAATATAACCGTAGAGGAGAGATTTAAAGTTAATTTTTTTTTTTTAGGAAATAAGAACTTCAGTGAAAAGACTGGCCAATATATGAAGCAAGATGCAGACATCTTATAGGTTAAGCAGACAGCTTTATAATTTCACAGAGGTTTGTGAAACTATTCTCAGGAGTACATATTAGATTCCCATTGATAGAATATCAACTGTTGATTTTCAACGAAGGTATCAAAATATAAGGTCAGTACTTGAACAATATAGTTTATATGCATGTATATTAATGCTTAGCTAAATCAGTTTATTTTTTATTTTTAAATTACTTCTGAAATGTGTTCATTTATTATTTAGCAAATAATGGGGTTAAATCTTTAAGAATAGTATTATGGTTAAAGTTATGTTACAATAAATAAAATATGTTAGAGACAGAAAATTGTAATTGATATTGTCAATGATACTTAATCATTCTGTCTATAAACATTTTTCCTGACCAACCCCTTATTTTTCAAGTCTTGACCCATGGAATTTTATAATTTTGAAATACAACTATACTCATTAAATTTTAGATCTTATAGTAATTTTAAAAACATTTTTAAGATATTCAAATATATTTAAAAAATTGCCTACATTTAATAAATTTAGTTATCCATTACATTAAATTATGAAAAAAATTTCATCTCAAATAAATATTGCACTCCAAACTTCAAAAATCAATGGTTAACATCATACAGACATTCTTCCTACTTATTACTAAACATATTAAACAAGAAAAAATTGTTTGTATTGATTAAATAAGATTACAAATCTACCATTGTTTGTATTTCAGCCTTTGTGATACAATTTAAAACCATTACATTTGAGATCTAAAAATATTTTAAACTAGGATATTTAATGCAAAAGGTATTGATCATCCCATTGAGCAGTTTCAACGAAAACAGCTGTTACTTCGATCTAGTATAATGGACAGTTCCAGCGAAAAATTATCTTTATTAAACATTATCTGTTACTTTAAAAAAATTCATAATTATACTGTTAAATATATAGTTTATTAATTTAACGTTAGTGACTTTGGAGAAGGCTTCTCAATACTTTTAATAAATCTTCACTTTTTTTAATCTTGCATTGAAGTATGTTCGTACATCTGAAAATGAAAGTGTAGTTATATTAAAAAAATATGTATTTGATTTTATTCTGAGTTTAGTAATTTTTTTTTAAAGGAATTAAAGAATGTTTAAGTTTTTGATAAATTGGTTGTTATTATCTTCATTCAATAATGGATGATTTTTCTATTGAAAAATTAAAAATATAAATAAAATGTTATCTAACTAAGTTGATAGTTACATAGTATGGGAATAAGTGTGTAAAACGTCGACTAAACAATACCAATCTAAAACTTCACAATATCAATGGAAATAAAAGTATTTCTTACAAACTGAAACATTTACTCTTTTGTTATTTTGCATTAATTCCTTTTGTAAATTTATTAGAAATAATTATATTGTCAGAATCCTGCAATTATCTGAAAAAAATCTTTCGACGAACTCCAATAAATGAAATTCTCATAATTGTTTTCTATGATATTAATTTTTATGCTCTCATATAAAGGCAAGTTTTATGTTCTGAAAAAAATATTACAATTCTTATAAGAAAAACTATTTGCTCAAAAAATTATGCAAAGAAGGGCAGCTGTTCAAAAATGAAATCATTTGCATTAGTCTTCATTACTGAGTACAAATTTCAACTAAAGTAAGTCGTGTTTGTTTATACATTGTAATGTGCACCTTTATTGGAAGTGAGTATTGGAAGGGTTTAATAAACCAATGCTGAACAATTGAAAGGCAAGCTAATCTAGTTCTACTAGTGCAGGGAAAAGAAAATGGCTTCTCTGTAGTTTCCCAAGAAGGAAAATCCCAAAGAGGAGAGGGACAAAGGTTTTTGTTTTGTCAGGCAGTTGGTGTTTGGCTGCAGTGACGAGAGGATAGGAGAGGGATCCTGGTTCCAGTGGGTAAATACAGTAATAGTGTCACAAATTTTGAAGAGTTGTTTGGCAGAACTTTGGAAAGTGTTTAAAGACAAATGAATTCAGTGCAACAAAGGAAGAAACAGTACATATAGAAAAAAGGTTAGCTTGCCAATCCATACTTGACTTTATTATAAAATTAGTGTTTAACTTTAGTATAAATAGTGTAAATAATAATAGTTTGTCTGAGTTGATCTGATTGTCAGTAACCCATACCTGAGATAAATAAATATATTAATACTCTTATAATTTTGTTTATTATTTAATAACCTCTTATTTATTTAGGAAGTATCCCAATGGTATAAAGTGGTCTACCACGAGGTTATATTATTATTCCTGGCCCACCTCAAGCTCTACGCTGCTCGCACTCTGCTGATTCGCCATCTTCTACAATTCATTCTATTCTCTCTCCAGATACTTCAAACACTAAAACAGAGCCCTGAAGATGACCCACATGTTTGGGTTGAAACGTTGTCAAAAATTAAAAAAGACTGCGTCCTGAATATTTATCACCCATGATATGTAGAACAGTCGATTAACTTCCTTCAAGAATTCATCAAATCATTGGGACCTAACTACAACAACATCACACGTCGTTGCTGAAATCCACCACATCAGAGATATGAACTCTTGGAACGCTGACAACGCCATCGCACAACACATATCAAGAAAAACAGGTCATCCTGGCCCACCTCAAGCTCTACGCTGCTCGCACTCTGCTGATTCGCTATCTTCTACAATTCATTCTATTCTCTCTCCAGATACTTCAAATACTAAAACAGAGCCCTGAAGATGACCCACACGTTTGGGTTGAAACGTTGGCAAAAATAAATGAAAATGAATATTTATCACCCATTATATTATTATTATTATTATTTGTAAAATATAAGAGGGATGTTACATTTTATATATATATTTTTTTAAACGTATTTTATTAGCAATACCTTGAGCGAATTAAACTATCATTCACCACTACATGTAATTTAAATGAAAAGAAAAAATTGATATAATAATATAAAATGACATATAAAATCAAAAGTATGATAATTTATAACCGTAGATAATTGTTTTATGCTCCTAACAAATTTTGTTTGCCTTGTTTATATGATATGATATAAAATAATTAATATTTTATAGTTGATGATAGTTCAGTGATACCTTTTATTTTGCTGAATATGTAATATCCGACAAAGAGAAAAACATAAGGAGTTGTCATCGTAAATATCACAACCAAAGTGGCCTGTGAAGGGGTCAATGCATCTAAAACAGGATATATCCATTCATCACAATTGTGATTTCCATAGAAAAATCTGAAATTTTAAAAAACGATTATTTTGGCTTAATCATTGAATCACACATGACAAAATGAAATTATATATTTTTTTTAAAGAATAAAGTACTTACACAAAGCTGTAAGTGGACATTAATGTTGTTAGTAACACAAATGACCTCTTTTTCGGTGGTTCCTCTGTAATTTCTACGAACATATAAAATATCGATAGCGGCACTGGATATGTATGCATCATATGATTTATGAATGGTGGCAAAACATTATCCATTATTTTAGGGTAAATAAGCTCTCTTTCCCAGAAGTAGAATCCCCAAAACAAGATTGCAACAACCTAGTAAAAATAAAGAATTGTAAAAGCATTGTACAGGAGAAATATTTTATACCAAAACATTAAATTTTGGAGAAAAAGCTATTTAAAATAATTTAAAAGAGGAAACATCTCATTTATTGTATTATTAAAGGAGTCTGAATAAGTTGGAAAAATAAAATTAATCAGTTAAAAAACTTATACTACTACAATCCATGTATGAAGATTTTTGAATTCAGTACATTGGAAGAAAGTATTGTTTCTTGGTCAATGGTTCTGCAAGCATATGATGTGACTAAGACCATGCAAAACTGTCATATTTTCTCCCTAACTAACTAATAGGACCCAATTTATATAGGCTGGATATGCCCAAGAGGGTCTCTTTGACCCTAAGTTTGATCAATGACTGATGTTACAGAATCAATAATTATTTGTCACAGTCCGACTCAAACCCAGTATGTAGAGAATATGAGCACTCTGCCTTACTCACTGAGCTACTCCATTTCTTAAAATCAATTAGCTTCATTTAAAAAAAGTATAAAAGAAAATGTTCACTCATATTATGAAGGTCATCAGGGCCTACAAGACTGCGCCATATGAAAAGTCCTTGCAGTACCTCTCAACCTGCTCCTGCAAGAAGAAGTGATTAAATATTTGTATAAGAGAGAATGCTCTACAGGACTTCCAGAAAATCTTCATGTGAGAATAATGAATGCACATAATAGATGGAACAAAATAATCCAGGAGGACACAATTGGGGCCTGGAGCCAGCAGAAGGAAACTACTTCTAAAGGCAAAGGGGGTTCTACTGGACTACTGGATTTCCCAATCCTCACTGGGTATGGAGAATTTGGAGCTTAGCTTCACAGTCTTGGCATCAATGTAGATCCCCTATGTCCAGCCTGTAGAGTTTTGGAAACCGTGGATCATGTTGTCATGACTTGCACTGCATTCAAGACCTTAAGGGCCACATTGGAGAGAGCCATGGAAATCTATGTTCTCGCTGAAAATGAGTTTCCTCAATTAGCAAGTGAAGTACAATTCTCCGAATTTCAAACAATTCAATAGTGGGTCAGCCCACTTTAATCTTGGAACTCGAAGAAGAAGACCCTGTACCTAGTAAATCGCTGGACCAATAGGAAGCGTAATATTATGTTGAATAAATAAAATAGAACATGATTGCAAGAAACTATTAATGAATTCAGTAGCGGAGTGGTTGCTCTACTTTTGCCAACTCCCGTATCGCCATATTAGCATAGGTAGGAATAAAATAAATGTTCACACATATTAAACTGTTTTAATTTTATTGTTTAAAATCCACTTTAAAAAAAATAATTGTTTTTTAAACATGTATGAAATATACTTTAAAAGACCAATAAATATCATCCTGTTCAATGATAAATTTATTATAAACATTTCAAAAGTATTATTTTAATCTTTTTATCATTCATTATTGCACATGGAAACTATTGATGATTGTAATATTACAAATTAGAATGTATGTAATATATTACAATTAGGAATCTCCAAAAATGATATAGTTCATTTAAACAATTTCTAACAAAACTAGTTTAGGATTAGTTGTGAATACGCATGTCATTACACCATGGGTTTTATTTTTGTTGCCAATATGTGATGTTTTTATTGAACAATATTTTGTTTTCTTCATGAATCTGTTCTATCCAGTGAACATTTACAAACCACTTACAATTTTTTTTTTTTTCACAACTAAATATGTATCAATTTCATAGATGGTAAATGTGCCCAAGAAGGGCCTCCTAATTCTCAATTATCTGCCACAACTGGATTCGAACCTGGGGTCAAGAGTTTAGAACCTCATTCCTTGCCAATTGAGCTACCCGTTCTAAAATTTTAGTTTTTACTAGTTTATTAAATAAGAAAATATTTAGGCTGGGTTTATATCAATATAAAACCTTTAGATGGCCTCTACCTACTCTCTTAAGTGACATTGAGTGAGGGAATGATAAGAAATGTATATGGATGGAATAAGTGCACTGTGAATTTGACTCAAACCTGCAGTGGACAGGTTTTTTGGTGAAAAGTAAACAATTGATGAGAAAGGTGCCGAAGGACAAAGAAATGAAGAAGCGTGGAAAAGCATACAGCAGGTGGCAGCAGCTGGAGAGAGACCGTGGGAGAGAGAAGAACAAAGACTTCACTTGAGGCTGAGACGTGAGGACGAAAGGTTGTGGCAGTGTGAGAGAAGCCCACTCTACTGGAGGATTCAGAAACAGAAGGCCAAACCTACTGTTATAGGACTTTTAAATGATTCAGTATTTACAGTTTATTAAAATAAATTAGCTTTGTTATTCAGAAGTGGATGTTCTCTTTTATTTGGTTGCCTATATGCCTCAACATCTGACAATTGAAGATCCACCAGTTGAGTCAATTCATTTTAAGTGCATTTAATCATTCCAATATTTCATATATATACTTATTATTTATTGCCACTCAGTGCCCCAAAATAATTAGATTTCTGAATTTCCAATGGGAGTAAACAACATCAAAAGTTTATCCAGGGTTTTGTTTTAAAATTAAAATTCATGGATGTAAATAAACAAGATCCATATATAAATGGAAGGTTGTTTACAATATTCTAAGCCTTTTATCATTATCGTTTTAGTATGAATACATCCAAAGTCTAGGATGAATATATTTTTACACTCTAGAATTTTTCAAAATATTCTATTCAGAATTATTTAAATTTAAAATAAGGAACCATTGAAGAAATATTGAGTAAAACATAAATAAATAAAAAATAAAACTGCAAATTAGAAAATTTTCTACTATTTCTTCAATAGCCCACAACTTCTATCTACAAATAACTTAAAAATTAATTTTTTTTAGTGAAAAAAATTTCTTACCGCTGATAATGGGAAAACAACTGAAAAGAGTACGTTGCATACAGTAACTCTCAGAAACTGTCTCAATAAAAGTGCAAATGCTGACTTTTTATGATATAAATAATATATTTCTAGGAAATCTATCACTGAATAGCTACAAAAATAAACCATCTCGATAAGCTGCAATAAAAATAATATTAATAATGTTGTAACCGTACATCATTATGTATTATTTATTTCTAAGCTATGGTAATGAATGTAAACTTACCACTACCCAAATGCTCAATAGGTACTTCATGTTTGCTATCCCCTTTCTTATGAATGTGCTTAGGACATGTTCGTTGCCTGATATCAATACGAAATAGACTGAGTATATGCAACTTCCTATATAGATAGATGTCACTAATGTATGTAAAAACAATATTACTTTTTTAATAGGATGTATTCTCAAAAATCCTTCAAAAAAAGAAAATACTGCAACTTTAAATTATTCATTAGCAAATACAAATTAAAATATTTAACACATAGCACACTTATCTATACTCAAATATTAATAGAATATGATAAAAAACTTTTAATACCTTGATTTTCTTTTTGAATAAGGCTGTTCATTTTGTATTTTTAGTGAAAGTGATTTCAGTTTATATTTCTACAAATCTAATATTTGACATAGAAAACATTTTTTCAATAAAAATTAATCTTTAAAGGCTAGTGGTCCTCACATATTAAAGTAAATCTGCAATATTAAAATTAACTACATTGTTTATCAAATAACATTAACTTCAATGTTTGAAGGGTCAGTTTTAATAGTTGATTGACATCAACAGTTGGCCCATCATACATTTACAAACAAAATTAAAAACATAACAGACAAATTAAAAACAGGATTTAAATAGTTACTTTCCCAACAAAAATTATCTAAGACATGTAATAGTTTTTTCACAGATGATTTACTGAAAACATTACACATCTAACAACATACTTATTACTGATCTATCTCAGGTATGCTATATCTTAATAGATAGGAAGCATTGAAGGTTTAACGTGCTTCGGAAAAAGGTGCTAAGGTGAAACATCTATTAAATATTTGTATTTTTAAAATAACATTGTAGATTTAATTGAAATCTAATTTTATTATGAATATTTTTCAATAGTTGTATTAAATATTGTTAAAAAGTTATTGAAATGATACATTCATTAAATAGATGCATAAATTTATCATAAAAAAAATTAAAATTATGAGGTTGTTCTTTTTACTGTTTAAAAAAAATGAAAACTTTGTCTTGTTACAAATGGAACAGTTACCGAGAACAGGTTACGTTATCAAGGATAAATTCGCTACATTTGAAAAAAGAAGTTTTACTTTTGTACCATAATAATCACTCCATTTAATCTTAAAAATTTTTTTTCTAGGGTATATATTAATAATAAAATTTATAAAATCGAGGAAAACATTTTATTTTATCCTTATATGTTTATTCCATGCTTTAATTCATTTCGGGCAATTTCCCCTATTTTCAAGTCGAATATTTATATTTATAATGTAAATACACAATAATTATAAATATATGTGTAAAAAATATAACAGCACATAAAAGAACAATAAACGAAAATTTCAAAATATCAAATTAATGAATGATATCTCAACTTACACCATTATTATATAATCCATATAATGATACTTTTTCATATAATTATTGCAATATTTATTTCCTAAAAATCCTTCAAATTATAAAATTCATAAATTGCTCATGAATAGTCTATTCTAAAACCACTGAAAAGAAACATACCAAACATACAACAAATAAGAAAAGGCCAAAAAAGATTTTTTTTTTTTTTTATCACTTTAAAATTCTATTCTATAAATTATCTGTGAACAGTCAAAAAATAAAAAAGTATTTTAAATTTACTCAAATTTTACACATTTTCGTCACCTTTAAATTCAACAGCCTAATGTCCACTGTGAGCTGTAGTCTTACCTTTTATTTTGCTCATTGGGATTAAGACTACTGCATTATTGAAATGATTTCAAGTTTCCTGTTATTAATAATAATTTAGCCAAAATAATTATTTAAAATACTTTATTTAAAATTCTAATTTATTAATTACATTTACATAATGTTGCAGCTCCCTGGTATGTAAACAACAAAACTTTACATAGCAACTTACAACAACTGACTATCGCCCAACACATACGTACTCTATACTCCCAATTTCATTAGAAACTACACGGACATCACAACGACATGGCCACAGCTGACATTCCCATCAGGAGACGACTAAAGAGGAGCTGGATGAGAGATCTCCTTTCCTAAATTACGAAGTAGACCAAGACAAGGAAGAGGTACTGCTGGGTACTAATCTTCCTCATGCCTAAAATGCCAATTTTCTTTATAATGAGATCACATCTGCTTATAGTCAAGATTATGACAGGTATGGATCGAAGTATGAAAAGAGAAAATAAAATTTTTCATTTTATATTCTTTCTAGTATATTTTATTACAAGTTATTATATCGTACTAATCCTAATTTTTCATATGTATTATACTTTAAAATAATATGCTATTCATGTATATTTTAATTTATCATACCACATCTTAAATGTCATAATCTTTCATTCATATCTCATTATTTCATTTTCATTTTCATTACTGACATGTACATGATTAGTTTATTATTATAATTTTAACACTCCATATTTTCATTCTGTTATGGTTTATTGTTTATCTTGTTATTCTGGGGATTACTTTTTTGAGCAGAATATATTTATTGCATTCAATTCAAATTCAAATCCTAGTATTCTTTTTATTTTCACTTACCTATATATGAAATATGTAGTAAAGGAAGGTAATGCGTTCGTGGAAATTTTTGAATCTCAGTTTTTAACAGAAATACACGTTTTGAGATCCTCTGAGTCCAAACAAACAAGTCAGGCAAAATGATCTGTGAGTGTGTGTGTGTGTGTGTGTTAACAGTACAGCGCAAAAACGAAAATTCATCCAAAATTTAAAATTTAAGTTTTGTATATACCTAGAATGTTACAGCAACTTTTTTCGTCAAAATTGGTTAACCGGAAGTGGCACATTATATCATTTATTTAACACATTTTTACAATTTTCTCAAAAATGGTTCTTATTGCGGTCGTTGCTTGGCATGCCTACTGTTCATAATGTCTTCCTCTAAAGTATCTTTAATTTGGTTAACTGTAAATAATTAACTATCTATCAATGTTAGGGATTATGAAAACATACTAAATATAACTTTTAAAAGAATTTGATAATTGAGTAAAGGAGGAAAAAAATCAAAATGCTTACCTAGGTCAAAAATGAATCTCCAGAAATAATAGTAAGAAGGTATAAGTATAATATATTGTTGGAAAGCGGAGAACTTTAGAAAAAATAATATCTAATAAATAAAGTTGTAGAAGGTAATGGGGAGTGACCAAAAGCATATAAATAATAATTTCTGAAAACTAAAATTATTTAACGTAAATCACATGTTTCCAAGGAAATTAAATGAAATTTTCTTAAAAAAGATAAACTTTAAAAAAAAAATTTAAGTTTGAAAAAGTATTTAAAATTCATCAAATGAAGGCAGCGAATGTTTACAATTCTATTTCATTGTACTTGTGTGAAAGAAGTGAAATATAAAAATATTTTATGGATATATGTTTATAATCTTAAATACATTTATTGTAGTTTATTAACTCTAGATCTGATATTATACTTAAATAATTAGGTATCTATGTCCGTTTATTCCAAAAAATCATCATGTAACCTTTTAGTAAGTTAAATTAGTGAATAATTTGGTGAATTTTCCCTTTGAGATATTCCAACAGTATATACTTACAATTAGTTTGACAACTTTTGACCTATCTATGATAGGCAATGCATATCTCGTAATTCCATTTTAGTAAACTTTGCAATGGATAATAACAGTTTAATAACTAATAGTCCTTCAACCCATAATCAACCATTGATATAACAAATAGGATTTTTCTTATTTTAGTGGTATTAATGATTTGTTAGTAGTAAGGTTTAAGCTTTATAGTTCGGTTAAAAATGCTTCAAAAATTTTATATTGATCCAAAATTGTCAGAAAATAATATCTATTCAAAGTAGAGTGGTAAATGAAAGTTGTGTGTTGCGCATACCAAATATTTGATCGAGAAATTCAAAATGAAAAATCAAACATTTATATCTATATAAACATAACTTAATATGATTTTAATAATAAAATGCATTTATTAAATATAACAATTCTGAGTAATTTTAATTGGAATCTCACCATTAATTTTAAAATTATTATCAATTATAAATAATATTATACAAATAATAATTTATAAGCAACAGCTGAGCAGAAGGTGATGTAACAAATACGGAATTCATCTTATCTCTTTTAAGTGATATTGATAGATATAACCTTAAAAAAAAAGTGAATGACAACTTGACCTTATCTGAGTACATTTGCACTCAAGCAATTGAAAATGATCGGATAAAAAAATAAGAAAACATTTTATACGCATTATTTATTTTCAAACATAAAAAAAAAAACACTTAAAAACTAAGTATCACAAAAAGCTAATATTACATAAGTATTTTAAATTAATACTGTCAGTCCATATAAAATTCACATTATTAACTATATAATAAATTTGTACATTAAAAACATTTTCATACTCATGAAAAATATTCATATCTTTAAATTAACAGTAACTAGCTAATTATTTTTAATGTGCCTGAGTAATATTTTTTTATTAAGTTGAGTTTTTAATATGATTTAAGATTATGCAATGTCTTTTATAAAGTATTACATTTGTATAATTGTAATTAAATAACACAACTTCATGGTTCAGATCGTTTGGACGTCATTTCTAAAGACTCTTCAATTCTTTTACTTTTTGATGGAAGTATGATCGCATATCTGTAAATAACAAAATTATCGATTAATTTGTGTAAATTTATTCTATTGTATTTTGATTTATTATTCTACCACAATGTTTTTTTTTTCTTTTCCCAGTTGAAAATGCATGCAAATTATATGTGTTTACTGCTTTGAAAATCATTTAGCATTCTCTTGATAAAGTTATGAACAGATCATTCTTCAAATTATTAATGAAATGAATAAACTCTTTCATGTAAAGTAGTACATAGCTGCCACTAACGTATTTATTTATATATATATTTGGAACCAACATTGAGTCATTCTATTCCTCTATGAGGGATGTCCTTGTTATATTAATGAATTCCATGATGAAACCTGGTGCGCTTGAACTCTATCTGAACCCAAAGGTCATATGACGGTCAATTTAGTGAATGTTATTATCTGGAACCTCATAAGTGGATATTCTGAATCTCACAAACTGTTATCCAAACATTAATTTTAATAATTTCCTTTTCAGTTCTCTTGGATGAAGAGCAAAATAAATCAGTGATTATTGTTTAGATTGTCTGGGCTAGAGGTGATTAAGCTTATGACCGCTTTCATAACAAAATCATGAAAAGCAAAGTAAATTTTAAAGTTGAAGAAAATAAATAAAAAATTACTCCTCCGGTTATTAAAATATTGCTAGTGAGTTATCTGCTAAACAGACTATTTTGCTTTATTAGTATTAGTTGTTAGTAACAACTTGTTACACAGTGCTGTTGTAAAATAGCCACTACACGTGATAGATGTTTGTTAAGTTTTCATGTAAGAGAACATTTTGTATTGTGGCTATTGTTCATATTTACAATACATTACCTTATTTATTTAATCCTTAATATAGTACGTTATACTAAATGTATTTTAAAAGATGCTACGTTATAATAATAATCAGGAATGTTTTTTTTTATTTATATTTTTAATCCAATTGCGCCTTATGCGCCTCATAAGCAACTCCGTATGAGCCAACTTCTCAAAGAAGTCGAGAACTCCTGGTCTAAGAATTCTCGGAGGTTTGAAGCAGGGGTTGAAACTTACATGTCAATTTTTAAAAAGTTCCATTTTAATAGTTTCTGTGAATTTTTTTAGGAAAAATATTTTAATAAAGTTCCATGTTTATGGTATGAGTTTAACTAGTATTTATTTAAGTTCTTAAAAGGGTTCCATTAAATGAAAAATAAACAGTAATTGGGCTTAGATTAGAGTAATAATTTGTCTTAAATAAATTACTCTTCACTCTAATGTGCTGTTTGTTTGAGTAGCTAAGAATAAAATTTACTTGAAAACTTGCAAGGGAAAAAGTTCTAGTTCCAAAATAATTGAAAACTATCGACAATAAAAATTTCACTGATACCGAAACCTTTTAAAAATAAAAGTTTATTTTCTATTTCAAGCCCTGGTTTGAAAGCCTTACTAGGCAAAATCAGCCACTTTGTCCAGCCATTTTAATCAGTTTTATCATTACATACTTATAACCTCTATGTGACCATGAACCCACCTAATCAGTAAGTCTTACCTCATTCATCTCATTAAATATCCATACAATTGATTTATTACATAATAAATTTATCTATTAAACCTATTAAGAAACAGATATTGCATTGATAGTATCACATATCACCATGTCCTTATTGTAATTAAATATTAAAATATAGAAAAAGTTAATATCCCTCGTATTTAAAAATAGATAAGTTTTAAATAGTTTAATAGTACCTTTTATCTTGCTATATATGTAATAACCGAGAAAAAAGAAAACAAAAGACCCTATCAGAGAAGATGTCAGAACCCAGATAGCCTGTAAAGGCGTCAATGCTTCTAAAGCAGGATAAACCCATTGTCCTCGTTTTTTACGTGCGTCAAGAAATCTGAAATTAAATAATTTCTTAGAGTTTTATCAAAATATTGTATTGTTTATATGATATTTTAAACTACAATTGTATAAACAAATTTTATTCAGTAGTACTTACAGAAAACTGTATATTGTGATAAATACAGTAAGTAAACCGAGTGTCTTATATTTTGGAGGTTCCTTTTTTATTTCCGTGAACATGTAAAGTATGGATAATGGTACTGGGTAAGTATGCATCATATGGTTGATGAACGGTGGCAAAAGTTCATCCAATATTGCTGGATAGATAAGTTCTCTATCCCAGAAATAAAATCCCCAAAACAAAATCGCAACGACCTAATAATAAAAATATATTAAAAAGAAATACCTAATTCATTGAAAAGAAAAAAATCTTTCTATTAAAAAAAAATCTAACTACATAATAAAAAAAAGATATTGTTTTTTAGTATATATCTTTTGTCATTTATTGTTGTTTTAGAAGTGTTTAAAAAATAAAATAGAATTTTTACCTCTACCATTAAAATATATTTATATATATATATAGTTAGCTTTATATAGTTCTCTTTTTATTTTAAAAGAATAATATTCGAAAAATGTCTCACCAATGATAATGGGAAAACAACGGAGAAGAGCATATGACTTGCAACATTCCTTAGTGTTTGACAAATTTTAAGAGCTTTTTCTGACTGTTTACAATATATTTGAAGTAAATCTATCGCTGAATACATTCCGAAAAATATAGTCTCTGAAGCCTGGAGTAAATATATTTAAACATTAAAATTCAGTATGCATATATAAAGAAATATATAAGCTTAAAATGATATACTTACCAGTACCCAAATACTGAATAAATATCCCATACTCGCAAATCCATTAGCTAAGAATCTATTGTTGACATATTTAATATCTGCTATCAATATAATAAATGCCATACTCATATAACATGCTAGGAAGCATAATGATACTATTGTATGCAAGCAGCATGACAGTGTCTCAGGCTGTATGCTTAGTAATCCTAAAAAAAAAAGAAAAAAAAATACAAGTAATTACTTAAGAGTTTATAATTATCTTAAAGTATATTTCTTTGATAACAGGGAAGGAGATAAGGTTGACGAGCTACTGAGCCTTTATAACACTAGGAAGTGAATAACTTATAAAATACAGATGATTTTTTAGTTTATATTTAATATTGTCCACTGCGCCCCTTCACATATAAAAGAAAATGAGTTAAAATTTCCATTTATCCTAAATTAGCAGTCTTCTGTCCCAACAATATCGTATCTACCCAGACTTTACAAGATCTAGATACACTACTGGCCACAAGAAATAAATTGATGAATAGAAACATTTTTCTCCTGGATTATGTATGTCATGATCATCTCCCAAGCTTGTTTATGTATATCTGTATTATTATGTATATCTGTGTGTAGAAGGAATGGAAGATAATTATTGTTAACACATGACTCAGAAGAAACACTTTTTCATTTTGACAACTTATTCCTTGTGACCTTAGAGCTGATGCATAAAATGAGAAAAAATGATAAATCCTATAGTTTTAAAATTTAGAAAGAATTTAATTAAAACTTGTTTTTGAAATTTACAAATTTTGTAAAGTTATAATTGTTGTTGGGAGTGGGGTAGCTCCATGCTTGGCACTGAATTTCCAATGCTTGGGATCCCAGGTTCGAATTCTGGCTCATGGCAGAAAAATTATTTTTCTTTTTCTTTGTTTCATCAGCCGTGAGGCAATACTGGGGTAGGGAGACCCTCCTGTGGCACACCCAGCCTCTAAAAAGTGGGTACCCTTGATTAAAAAATGAATTAAGAAGAAAAATCTGGAGGTTGAGCGTGATACTGTCCCGATCTCCTCCTTGCACAACCGTTGGCCTTAAAATAGTACTTTCCGTAAATAGTACTGAACCCAAGACCCTTCATGCGTTTTAGTGGTATAGGTTTTTTCTTTTTCTTTTTTTTATAATTGTTGTTGAGAAAATTTCTACACCTTTTGTAGTATTCATTCATTGCTAGGCTCTACAGTTTTAGAAGAACAATGGCCTCTGCTAATGTCTTCAAGTTTTATATATTACAGTTTTTGTCTTTCTTGACATATTTTTGCAATTTAGCAGCTTCTGTAAGCTGTACAGACATCGATTCCCTGCAGCTATATGGACTTTAATATCTTTTTTTAGCATATATAACTTTGAATGGAAAAATTCATCCATATCTAAGTCAAGAGTGTTCATCAAAGTTATCGCACCTGCTCTTCCTTGATGGTCAGGAATCCTAGAGCACTTACCTTTCTATTACTCATTTTATTCTTAATTAAAATGAGAACCTTTATTCCTCCCCTCCACAATTCATATAACTGAAATACTTTGTATTTTAAAAACCCAAAATACCTTTTATTTTAGATACAGTATTTTAAAATACATTTTGTACAGGTCTGGAACATACTACATTGCATGGTATGGTAAATGAGCTTAATTTTTTCTAATTATACTTTCACTTGAACTGTTTTTAAGAAGAGGAGAGCGTTAAATTTTGTAAAGAGTGGGCCATGCACCATTGACCTTGGGGGGGATGGCCTGACGTTCCTGATACATATAACTGAAATCATCGTCATTTATTTTACTAACTAGAAGGAAGACCTCATAAAATATTTAAAACGACAGCACATTTTTGCCATAATTTATTTATTTTTTTCACAATGTGAATAATTTTTTTCTAATAGGTCTCTGGCATGAATATAGGCAATAATTTATTTACAACTAAATGGATCTCCACCAATTTTTAAATAACAGAATCAGAAAGATTTTTCAAGGAAGTGGAAATTATAATTGTGTCACCACTTCTTTTATTTCCTACTATAAATACATTTTTTAAACAGTATTTTAGGTATAATATTAAAAAATATCTCCATCTTACAAAATCGTTTTTTTTTATTAAATGAATTATTAATGCGAAAATGATAAAAAATGGAAAAAATATTTTTCAGTTAATATAAAAATAAAATTTCCCTCCAAATTTACTGCTCTATAAATTTTGTCAAATGGATCATGTGCCCTTGCTCTTTCAAATAATAATTGTGAGCATACAGCTCTCGTATAAAAACTTTTTTTACAGATTTTGTTTTTCAAGTCAAGGCAAAGATCGTTACAAAGATATATATTATTTCAGGTCACCCATATGTTTTGTTTTATCCATAATGAATATAATAAAATAAAAAAAAAATCGTTTTTTGTAATAAAATTATATATATATTTGCAACTTTTCCTTAATCGACCTTTGAGTATTAAATTTAAACTTCACTATTTAATTGGGAATAAGTTCACTTAATTATTATTTAATAAACTAATTAATATTCATTTCTTCTGTTTACTGACGTTTCGATCCCGGTATTTTCTTTTTATTAGTCAACCATGGGATCCTCTTCAAAGCTAGAATTTAAAAAAATAGAGCTTCGATCAGGCCAGGGACACACCGACAGCCTCAGCACCGTTCACTAGCACATATATTAAGCTACTGGTGGCTGTCGGTGTGTCCCTGGCCTGATGGAAGCTCTATTTTTTTAAATTCTAGCTTTGAAGAGGATCCCATGGTTGACTAATAAAAAGAAAATACCGGGATCGAAACGTCAATAAACAGAAGAAATGAACATTAATTAGTTTATTAAATAATAATTAAGTGACCTTATTCCCAATTAAATAGTGAAGTTTAAATATATATATATATATATATATATATATATATTTGTTTTGTTTTTTTATAATTCAAGAAAAAAACGTCAGTTACAAGGATATCTATCAACATGTGAGATCATCAATGTTTTGTATTATCCTTATTGAATACAATAACATTATTAAAAAAAAAAACATTTCGTAATAAAATTATAAACAGTTTTTTTTTTTAAGACAAGGCAAAAAAGTCAGTTACAAGGATATCTATCTACATGTGAGATCATCGGTATGTTTTGTTTTATCCGTTTAGAACGTAAATCAAATTATTTAAAAAGAATCGTATTTTTTGAAATTATAAAATTTTAAACAGTTAAATTATAATTTAATAAGGTTGTTGTTATTTTATCTAATCAATGGCTTATAAATGTTTCATTGTATGCCAATTTATAAAATGTGGTATGGCATCTTAGCATAAAAGTTGTTGTGATTTCTAAATTAAAATATCGTCTTATAAATTTTATCGCTACCTACCTATCTCAATTATTTCAACTTTACAAGACGTTAAAAAAAAACTCTTAATATTGTTTACATTCTTTTTATAATTTATTTATTTGTTTATTTATTTTTCTTCCTAGCTGGAATTGCTGCCATACGGGGTTATCTTAAAATACATAGCATATTTCCATTTCAAAATGTCTTAGGAGCATATCTTAGGTTTTTATCAAAGTGTCATGAAACGAAATGTAATAAAGCTATCACTAAGTACTTTGAAATAGGTACCGAGCCTAGAAAGGTACGTTCAGACACTTCACAAACTATGTGAAACACAAATATATAAACGATTGTTTTTTCTATGATAGTGTTTTTGATGTTTTCCATCTACTGTCGGTTACAAGAGAAATAAAAATTAAAGTTGGACTTAACGGTAATGTCGCTAATAGTTAAGTTAAATAATTCTGTTTCCTATAGTTTGTGAAATGTTTAAACGCACCTTTGAATTCGATTTTTTATGGCGACTGAAAAATAAAATTTTTGTTGAACATATTGCTTATCAAGATTTTTTCTACGACAGCAGAAATTTTGATAATTAAAAGGTGACTCCATCGATTCTCACCAATTTCATCAGAGATTTAGGGCAATATAGACTACACGAAATGAAACAAATCCGATTTACACTAACAAATTAGAACCATGAATATATAAAATAAAAATATTTCAGAAGTGTTTCATTATTTCTACCTTAAAGTAATTAATAAAGTAATAAAATTATTTGTGTTCATGTTAAAAATGATTGCATTATCGATGTATTTGAAGAAAACATGTGAAGTTATGAATGCTTTAGTTAAGCGTGAAAAAAACTAGTACACAAATTTGTATTTTGTTATTTCTTTGAAACTTCTTATATATGATTTTTAAAGGACGCTAAAAAGGAATCTAACTTATTTTTTTCATAATAAAAATTTACTTGGTCAAATTTTCTGTAACACAGTTTTTTTTTGTTGTTAGAAGATTTATTTTAATATTATTGGCAATATATTTTTTTTATTCTGTACAGAAATATTGTATACAAAATAATAAACTACGAATTCGTGCAAAAAAATATATATTTTTTTTTGTTTTCTCGGCTCCTAATTTCTAATAGTACGAACGCTAGTACTTGTCCAATATTTTTTGACATGATTCACCAAAACGTCAAACGTCTTCGAAGCATTTTTAATTTATGGCGCTAAGGCTTAAAGTAGCTTTTAAGAAAACTAAACCTTTAAGTATTTGATAGAATACTTAAAAAAAAAAAAACAACAACAACATATAAATAATAAAAATATTATATATTAACTATACAAGTAGACGGAAATATTTAAAAGATTGATATTAGCCATCAAAATCTACAAAAATGTTTATATAAATAATTGTCCAATTTATAGCAGAAAAGTAGGAAATTTATGATTTTTTTTTTTTTTAAGCGAGTCATGTTTATATACATTTATTATTATTATTATTAGTTTCTGTCTTATTTATTTTTACTTATTGTAAATAGAGTGTGAGTGTGCTCTCTGAACACTATTATAAATGTCCTTGATGTGACAGAATGTAATATTTCTAAATAAACAAACTTAAAAAAAAAAAAAAAAAAAAAAAAAAAAAAAAAAAAAAAAAAAAAAAAGCGAGTTCCATTTTTTGTTGAACATGAAACGATAACTTAAAAAATATTTGGTTTAAGTAATTAAACATTGTTCCATAATAAATACTAGACAAAATTTACTTTAAATGACATTAGAGTTTGTCACTGTTAAAACTATTGAAGGACTTTTAAACATAGCTAAGATGACCGGATACGAAATCACATAATTTCTTTACACAATTTGAGGTGAATCTCAATTTTTTTTCTAAATAAACTCCAACCTAATTAATATGAACTTGAAGTTAATTAAACTAGAAAGTTTTTGTAAAAGTGAGATAAATATAGTACAGTTAAAGGGTGATAAATAAAAACAAATAATTTATGATTTTTTTTTTAAACGGAACATAGTTGTGTTTAGTCACTCGAAAGTCCACTTTAAATAGTTTTAAAAATGACCAACTTTACTTCAGTTTAAAGAAAATTTTGTCTTGTTTACAATGGAGCAATGTTTGATTCCTTAAATCAAATCTTTTTTTTTTTGTTTTCGCTTCCTGTTGTACAAAAAAATTTGACTCGCTTAAAAAAACAAAAATATTAAATTTTCGTCTGGAAATTGGGCAATTGTTTACATAAACTTTTTTGTAGATCTTCATGTTTACTGTCAACCTTTTAAATATTTCCCTCTACTTACGGGCACACCCTGTCTATATATATATATATAAATGAAATCGGTTTCCCACTAACTGTCGCCCCATTAAACACTGGCGATATATTTAACATATGCATGGTAACCATACTATCAAAAGTGAACTAATCTAGTTACCTTAATCAAAATTTAGTTAAGCGTGTTAATATCACAGAATTTTATGAAGACATTTTTAATACAGAGGCAATGCGAATTCACAGTTATTCGCAAAGAAAAAATCTGTATATATTTTTAGGATTCAATATATTTAATCATTAATTGATTAATTCAAATAATTAATCATTAAATAAATAGACAAAGGCGAAATAGTTCAGTACCTTTTTCTTCTCTGTTCCTTCTCCTCGACGGATTTTATTTTTTTCTTTCTGTTTAGTAGCTATTGACGGGCTTAAGTATTATAAAAAAAAAAATTGAAAACAGTGTATATAAATAAAAATGTAAATATTAGTTTGTTCAAAACCGCTAATCTCCGAAAGTTCTTCATGATCCATTGTTTGGAAAAATATGAGTCACTATAGACTACAACGCCAAAACGGCAGTAACGATTTTAATGAGGCTTTACTTCTCCATGAAATCTCCGTAATTTATGTATAAAAGATACTTTCCTGAAACGAGGCTGGAAAAAAAATTAATGATGGATTCAGAATTTTATTCTATTTTATTTTAAGTAAACTATTTTTGGTTCATTAAACCTACGAGTATTTAAAATCTTCGTGAATTCCCAACAAAATTAAAAAAAGAAACTATCGAAATCGAAAAGAATTACGTAAAATAAAATATTTGTATGCCATTTTTACTGTTTATATTTTTGAAGATAGTTCTATCACGACAGATTTATATTTGGCATATTGCTATAGTAAAAGTACAATGTTGAAAAGAAACAATTCGTTCTGACCAAAGGTGCAATGGGGATTCAAATATTTTTTTTAAGGAGAAACTAATTTGAGATGAATTTTCTTAGTAATCGAAAAATATATATTTTTTTTTTTGCCTCAATTTTTCACCGAATGGGCAAAGTGGATTCAAATATTTTTTTGAAAAATTTAACGATGGATTCACATTTTTATTTGCCAATAACTAAAAAGAATATATAAATGGTACTGCTCTGTTCTTTTTGTTTGTTTTTTTGTAAGTGCATATGTAAGTGTTTGTACGAATATATAAGAGTAGGAAAAAAAAAGGTTGGTAACACGCAAATTCATTTTTGTTATCATCAAATATTAAATAATGATTGTGTTCGAATTTCGACCAATAGGCGAACAATATTATTCTTAATTTTTTTATTAAAAATATTTTAAACTGAAAAATCGTGAACAATTTTAAATATTGATGTAATATAACTTACTTGGGATAAGATTATATCGCACCATGGCCAAGAATCGACTGACGACATCTCAACAACCCAGATATAAATTCAATTACTGAACCTGATATACACTTCCTATCCCCTCCACATCAGGTTATTCATGTAAACTCATTTTTTTTTTCTGCTATACTTGCCAACTTTGCATTGTAAATTGATATGGGAGTTGTTAATCTGTTGAATAGGCATGTTATCAGAATAAAATCACAAATTATATTAATTATTACAAGAAGAAAATCAATCGAAAAAAAAGCCTTACGAAATAAACATGAATATTTCGACAGTATACATAACTTTCTGTGTTAATTTTTATTGATTTGAAAACTCCTTCGTTTTACACATTTTTGTAGAGAGAGAATTAGATTGAGCCGTCAGATCTCCGATGTGTAACGCTCAGGTAAAGTTGACTGTAGTCTATTAACTGAAGTGCTTTTGCATGTGGATTAAAATATCCCAAAAACTAAATATCGGACCTGTATTCTGTAAGCAAGTGGAATGTTCATCATTTAATCTTCTTTGTAATGAGCTATTATTCAAAATCGTATCTTAATTGAATGCCGTGTTATAGAGGCGAAAAGGGAAAAGTCGAAAACCAAATTATAACCAATTTTATTGAAGATATGGATTAAAATATCTAAGAAACCAAAATTTGGACCTGCATACTGTAAGCGAGCGAAATATTCAGCATCTCATCCTCTTCATAATGAGCTATTATATATAATTTATATTTCTTATTATTAATCTCGCCTGGTTGATGTTTTCACTTCTATCTTGTGGTGTAAAGCACACGCCTTAGATTTTACTTTGTTTTTTTAGACTTTATTTACTAAGGAAGAAAAATAAAGAAACTAAGGTTAATGTACCGCTAATAGACACTTCAAGAGATATTTTCTATATTCGTGTTAACCACAGTTTTAGTTCTAATGGTGGATATTTGCAAACGAGCTTAATTGGCCGAAAATTCAGTCCTTTGTCGATTCTGTTTTTCATATATAGTCAATTAGTTTATCATTCGTAAAAGACTTAAGAGATTCTGACAGCGTATATTCTACAAGTAATATACATCCAGGATTTGGGATCAAAAGGTTATTTATATAATTAAAAAAATAAAATAAATTATGCACAGTTTTAAACTAAGAAATAATAAACAACATATGAATAAATCAAAATTTCAAACTTATCACTTGAAGGAAAATGATAAGAAATTATTACTGAAACAAACAATCAGCTTTCCTTAATTAAAAAAATCAATTACCAATCGTCTATTATGGCGTAATATCACTTGATGGTTGGCTATAAACTTTTTAAATGTTTTAACTGCTAATCTATCAACTATATTTACACACTATTTTGGGCGTATGAAGTTTATTATCCGTTAATAATTTCAAAACTGTCTATTATTGCTACATTTACGATGTACAGGTTGTCTCGTAAGCAGAGGGAAGTTTACAAGAGGTTGATAATAGATTTTATATATATATATATATATATATATGTTACTTGTACTACTAACAACCCTTGAAGGGTCTTGGATTCAGTACTGTTGCAAGGCCAACGGTTGTGCAAGAAGGTGACGGGCCAACATCACGCTCAACCGCCAGGTTTTCCCTCTTAATTAATTCTTCAATTAAGAGTACCCACTTCATAGAGGCTAGATTTGCTCTAGGAGGGTATTCAGGCTCCAGGGTCGACCAAAGGCTGATGAAAAATTACTATTCATCAGCCGGATTCGAATCTGGTACCTTGAGCTCTGGAAGTCAGTGCTCACCCACTGAGCTACTCCACTACTCGATAATAGACATCAAGAGCAACAAAAAAGTGTAAATAAACAATGGTCCAATTTCCACCAGAAATGTAGGAAATTTAGTTTTGTGTTTTTTTTTTTTGTTTTTTTGTCTAGTCACGTTTTTTTTTGTTTTGTTGAATAGGGAGCGATAACTAAAAAAATATTTAATTTAAGTAATTACCAATTGCTTCGCAATAAAATAGACAAAATTTACTTTAAAAGAAAACAGAGTTTGTCATTGTTAAAACCATTTAAAGTGGGCTTTTGAGCTGCTAAACCAAGCTAAGTTATATTTAAAAAAAACATGAATTATTCGTGATTTTTTTTTAATTATTCTCCAACTGTACTAAAGATAGCCCACTGTTATAAAAACTTCTCCATTCAATAAACTTTAAGTGCGTACTAATTAATTTAAGCATTATTTGGAAAAAACCTGAGATTAACATCAAGTTGTGTACAAATACTTTTTTTTTTTTATTTCTTAATGATATTTAAAACCGTACTAAAGAATACATTTGGTAAATTTGAACATATGGATATAATGACTTGAAACCACTTGTTGAGAAACTATCCAATGTTAGCCCTCTAATAATACGTCTACACTGGGAGATCACGGGGCCATCTTCTTTTCAGACGGCTCGGGGGGTTATCAGGAATTGAAGAGGAAGCAAGGTTAGAAACGAGAGGATTGGGATGATTCTGAAATTTATTGTGGAAGGATATGTATCTGGATTTGGCCAGATCTGAACATAAGAAACATTAAGGTCATTATGGATGGTTTTATTTGTAACAAAGTAGGAAGCATTAAGAATTTTACGAAGGATTTTGGATTGTATGGATTGGATACGAGAGGAATTCGATGGTTTAGTGGAGCCCCATAGCTCAACTCGTTAAGTCCAAATAGGCCGTATTATAGTCATGTATATGAGTCTTTTGTAATCAATTGGAAGTTTAGAGCGTTTGTCTAGTAAGTGCTGAAGTAATCGGAAACGTCGATCGGTTTCTTGTCGTTTCAGTCTAGTATGAGGATTCCAGGTTAGACGTTTGTGCAGATGGAGTGCTTGGTAGCGGATTTGTTCAACAGGGATAAGCGAAGTATTGTTAAAGGAAACTATAGAACAGGAAGTCATAGGTTTAGATGAAGGATAAAGGTAATTTGGTGGGATTTATTGGAATTTATTTGAATTCTCCAGTTTTGACACCATTCTTCAAGGTTTTTGATGTGTGATTGAAGCATTTGGGATGCAATTGATAGGTGATCGTTTACTGATAGAATACATGTGTCATCGGCATACGTGGTGATGACAGTGTTGGAATGTCAGCTGTATAAACTGTATAAAAGATAGGACCTAGGATACTACGTTGAGGAACACCAGCGGACTGGGAAAAGAGGGATGAATAAGCGTGTACAAAAATGATGTGATTTTATATCCTGTCACTTAAAAGTACCCGTGTTTTCATAAAAAATCACTACAATAAATTATTGCAAAACTTTTATTTTTTTCGATGACCTGGGATGTATAATAATAATAAATATAAATGCATAAACACACTTTTATTTTTAAAAAAATATATTTAAAAATAATGATTTCTCAATTATTCATCATCTAAAGTGATAATAAAAATGTCTTTTTTACTAAGTTCTCTGTTACAGGAATAAATTCGTATTTACAAGTTATTAAATAAATGTTTCTAGTCCTAAAATTTACGCTTAAAGTAAAGAAACGTGCTAGTAGCTTCAATTATTTTCATGAAAACAGAAATATTATGGCCAGGAATATTTAGTTGGTCACTTTAAAATAGGGTATAGTACAATCAACCTTTTAAAAATTTCCCTCTATTTACGAGACACCCTGTACAATGTTTATGTGGTCCTTTAAGAGCCTTGAAAAATATACCGTAACAAAAAAAAGAAAAAAAAAAGAGCAATTATAGCTTAAGCATCAATTGTGTTATATGTTTTTCTCGGCCAATCATGCTTGCATCAGTGGCTGAAATACATACAAATAATTTAAAGCGTTATAATTTAAAAAGAGTACTGATTTCGATTGCTAAAGTATTTTACTCATATCATTCACAGATACAAATAAAGTGATGAAAATAATGATTTCATTTTGATGGGGGGCTTCAGCACGTAAGCTGTTCCCTCTCTCTCCATAGATCATCCATTGACGCCTAGCTATTACCGGATATTCACAATAACAGTTTTGTCGTTAACCTCTCTCTTTTATACAAACAATTCAATTTTTTAATAATCCAGCATGATCAAGACTTCTTTTTCACCTGTTACTACCTTACTCTATTAACATAACCAGTTATAAACAACTTTGTAAAATGTCTAGGGTTACGTCGGAGTATGCATGATCAAGACTTTTATTTTACTTATCTACTTATTAACATAAATATTTATAAACAATTATGTAAAATGTCAAATGTTACGAAGGGATCTACAGAAAAATATTCAAAATGGGTCCTCCGGTATACGTATGTTTATGAAACCCTCCATTAGAGCATAACTTTAGTTAAATAATTATAATAATGATAATAATAAAAGGCTTAGTGAACCCGAAGGTTCGATGACGACACCACTAATCGCTTATTACACAGTTCTTTCCACCGTTCGCCGTCCAAACCCAGTCCCTTCAGATCGGGATACGAGTTACTTTTCACTCATGGAATGGATGAAACAAAAAATACATTGGAAAAATTCAAATTTTTGTTCGTTCGGAGTTAACGAGACTAATAGTTTTCTTCAGTGAAAACAAAACTAATTTAAGCTGGAATATAAAAATAATCAAGTTCACACAACTTTGAAGTTTAAAGAGTAAATCAAGTCCACAACGAACTGGTAGAAATAAACACAAACACCAATAAAACTTTTTTTTTTTTACAAACTTAGAGTAAAAAAATTGCTAGTGATGTGGATTAACTACAGATCAAAAATAAGTTTTCTTTTTTCAAAAATAAATTCTCGATAATGTTCAGAATTTACCGATGGAACGCAGGAGTCAGTCTTATAATAAATTAAAGATAATTTTTGTTTATATCTATATTAAAATGAAGAATATAAAATATCAACACCTTATTTCGCTAAATGCTTCGTTTCAACCATGTCAGCTATAGGAACATAGCAAATCAAACAGTATCAGCTACAGAAACTATTATCTACATTTACAATTTTTTTTAAATTGTAAGTTATTTAGAAGGATATTTCACGGATTTTAAATGTCTTGGTAGGGTGAGAAATATTTCTATAAGATGAATTCAAGAAAAATACAATATTGACGTAAATTACGTATTACA